TTTACCATTAATTATCGCATCCAAAATGAGTGGAGAGAAAAAAATAAATAATAAATTCAGTGAAAAATTAATTTTTAAGCAATCTAACGTGTCGAATTCATACCAGAATCGACATAAAAGATCACTTATTAAATCTGTACTTAGCGACGCTTCTGACAGATCTCGCAAGAGACTTCGACCTTTAACCAATCTGAGAGAGACTTTTTTTGACTCCAAAAAACATATTCGACTTCCAGAAATATTAATGAGAGTCAAAGAAAAAAATAAATTGTCACATAAACATTCTGATGAAAATACTAAATACAAGAGCGTGTTTCGTTTATGTATTTTAAATTTAAATTGTAAAGAAGGTAAAGATGAGAGAAAAAGTACAGATTTTGATCAGAAAGAGTTGAAAGTAGTACCGAAATTTCATATAAAATATAAAGATCATTCAAACAAAATTAAAACTGATATTTCTAAAAAAATAAAAGCAGAAGAAAATACTGATAAAAGCGAAAATCTTTACATTCCTGTAATTAGTGATGCTCGCGTGGATGCTGATTATCTTTCTAAAATGATTCCAAGTGAATTCAAGTTCTCAAAATCTTTCCAAGATGGTAGCATGGATGCTGGTTATCTTTCTAAAATGATTCCAAGTGAACTCAAGTTCTCAAAATCTTTCCAAGATGGTAGCATGGATGCTGGTTATCTTTCTAAAATGATTCCAAGTGAACTCAAGTTCTCAAAATCTTTCCAAGATGGTAGCATGGATGCTGGTTATCTTTCTAAAATGATTCCAAGTGAACTCAAGTTCTCAAAATCTTTCCAAGATGGTAGCATGGATGCTGGTTATCTTTCTAAAATGATTCCAAGTGAACTCAAGTTCTCAAAATCTTTCCAAGATGGTAGCATGGATGCTGGTTATCTTTCTAAAATGATTCCAAGTGAACTCAAGTTCTCAAAATCTTTCCAAGATGGTAGCATGGATGCTGGTTATCTTTCTAAAATGATTCCAAGTGAACTCAAGTTCTCAAAATCTTTCCAAGATGGTAGCATGGATGCTGGTTATCTTTCTAAAATGATTCCAAGTGAACTCAAGTTCTCAAAATCTTTCCAAGATGGTAGCATGGATGCTGGTTATCTTTCTAAAATGATTCCAAGTGAACTCAAGTTCTCAAAATCTTTCCAAGATGGTAGCATGGATGCTGGTTATCTTTCTAAAATGATTCCAAGTGAACTCAAGTTCTCAAAATCTTTCCAAGATGGTAGCATGGATGCTGGTTATCTTTCTAAAATGATTCCAAGTGAACTCAAGTTCTCAAAATCTTTCCAAGATGGTAGCATGGATGCTGGTTATCTTTCTAAAATGATTCCAAGTGAACTCAAGTTCTCAAAATCTTTCCAAGATGGTAGCATGGATGCTGGTTATCTTTCTAAAATGATTCCAAGTGAACTCAAGTTCTCAAAATCTTTCCAAGATGGTAGCATGGATGCTGGTTATCTTTCTAAAATGATTCCAAGTGAACTCAAGTTCTCAAAATCTTTCCAAGATGGTAGCATGGATGCTGGTTATCTTTCTAAAATGATTCCAAGTGAACTCAAGTTCTCAAAATCTTTCCAAGATGGTAGCATGGATGCTGGTTATCTTTCTAAAATGATTCCAAGTGAACTCAAGTTCTCAAAATCTTTCCAAGATGGTAGCATGGATGCTGGTTATCTTTCTAAAATGATTCCAAGTGAACTCAAGTTCTCAAAATCTTTCCAAGATGGTAGCATGGATGCTGGTTATCTTTCTAAAATGATTCCAAGTGAACTCAAGTTCTCAAAATCTTTCCAAGATGGTAGCATGGATGCTGGTTATCTTTCTAAAATGATTCCAAGTGAACTCAAGTTCTCAAAATCTTTCCAAGATGGTAGCATGGATGCTGGTTATCTTTCTAAAATGATTCCAAGTGAACTCAAGTTCTCAAAATCTTTCCAAGATGGTAGCATGGATGCTGGTTATCTTTCTAAAATGATTCCAAGTGAACTCAAGTTCTCAAAATCTTTCCAAGATGGTAGCATGGATGCTGGTTATCTTTCTAAAATGATTCCAAGTGAACTCAAGTTCTCAAAATCTTTCCAAGATGGTAGCATGGATGCTGGTTATCTTTCTAAAATGATTCCAAGTGAACTCAAGTTCTCAAAATCTTTCCAAGATGGTAGCATGGATGCTGGTTATCTTTCTAAAATGATTCCAAGTGAACTCAAGTTCTCAAAATCTTTCCAAGATGGTAGCATGGATGCTGGTTATCTTTCTAAAATGATTCCAAGTGAACTCAAGTTCTCAAAATCTTTCCAAGATGGTAGCATGGATGCTGGTTATCTTTCTAAAATGATTCCAAGTGAACTCAAGTTCTCAAAATCTTTCCAAGATGGTAGCATGGATGCTGGTTATCTTTCTAAAATGATTCCAAGTGAACTCAAGTTCTCAAAATCTTTCCAAGATGGTAGCATGGATGCTGGTTATCTTTCTAAAATGATTCCAAGTGAACTCAAGTTCTCAAAATCTTTCCAAGATGGTAGCATGGATGCTGGTTATCTTTCTAAAATGATTCCAAGTGAACTCAAGTTCTCAAAATCTTTCCAAGATGGTAGCATGGATGCTGGTTATCTTTCTAAAATGATTCCAAGTGAACTCAAGTTCTCAAAATCTTTCCAAGATGGTAGCATGGATGCTGGTTATCTTTCTAAAATGATTCCAAGTGAACTCAAGTTCTCAAAATCTTTCCAAGATGGTAGCATGGATGCTGGTTATCTTTCTAAAATGATTCCAAGTGAACTCAAGTTCTCAAAATCTTTCCAAGATGGTAGCATGGATGCTGGTTATCTTTCTAAAATGATTCCAAGTGAACTCAAGTTCTCAAAATCTTTCCAAGATGGTAGCATGGATGCTGGTTATCTTTCTAAAATGATTCCAAGTGAACTCAAGTTCTCAAAATCTTTCCAAGATGGTAGCATGGATGCTGGTTATCTTTCTAAAATGATTCCAAGTGAACTCAAGTTCTCAAAATCTTTCCAAGATGGTAGCATGGATGCTGGTTATCTTTCTAAAATGATTCCAAGTGAACTCAAGTTCTCAAAATCTTTCCAAGATGGTAGCATGGATGCTGGTTATCTTTCTAAAATGATTCCAAGTGAACTCAAGTTCTCAAAATCTTTCCAAGATGGTAGCATGGATGCTGGTTATCTTTCTAAAATGATTCCAAGTGAACTCAAGTTCTCAAAATCTTTCCAAGATGGTAGCATGGATGCTGGTTATCTTTCTAAAATGATTCCAAGTGAACTCAAGTTCTCAAAATCTTTCCAAGATGGTAGCATGGATGCTGGTTATCTTTCTAAAATGATTCCAAGTGAACTCAAGTTCTCAAAATCTTTCCAAGATGGTAGCATGGATGCTGGTTATCTTTCTAAAATGATTCCAAGTGAANAGCGAATATATTTCTCTTACACATTTTTATCTTTTTTTTTTTAATTAAAAAGATGTAAAATTTACACTTATTTTTTACTCCTATGCTCTTAAGATATGTGGGAGATGCAACTGCAGATAAAAATCATAAAATTATTAACGTTTTTATATCAAGTTACTAGTAATTTTAATCGGTTTTGAAACTTTGATAGCCTATTTTAATATTTTGATTAACAATTTAACTAAAAAATAAACCTTTAAAAGTATAATATAAGCTTAAAAATTTAAGAAATTAACATTACATATACAGAGGTTCAATAGGGCAATTAAAGATTTCATATACGTAATTTATGTGCAGAGTATAACACAAACAAAGCAGTATAGTTAGCTGCTTGAAGTGTATTAACTCATAGCTCTTATCTTACATTATTTGGAAATTTTGAAATATGAATAAGCTAAATGATTTTCAACTAATCTAATTATCAATAATAACGTAACTTATAGATTATTTGACTGTATAAACAAACGGAATTCAGTAAATAAATCTTTTCCTAAGTCTCTAACATAAAAGGAAGCCTGCAAGAGGTAACATTATTGTAGACTTCCTTTGTTATTTGTGTAAGCTCTAGGATAGGACTGTGAATCAATCCTACAGCTTACACAAATTCAATCCTATCCTACAATGAAAAAAAATCTAATTAAGTATTCATAATCGTCTATGTTCATTTCTGTAGTTCCCTGCGATAATATTTTTAAAAAATTTGAAATTATCTAACTATATTAGAGAAGATATAGATCATATTCTCACTCCATTATTTAAATTAGTTAATAATTATTATAATTTATTCATTGCTCTTTCTCTCATTCAATATCAACAATTTTAAAATAACTAAATATTATTACTGCGGGAATATTTAATAAGGAAACCGTTTTATAATTTGAATAATTGGATAATTAAACTAATTAGAAAATTTATAATATTGATATAAATGTAATTCAGTGAATGAGTCTTTTACTAAAGGAATTAACATGAAAGGAGATAGCATTCCTGCGACTTTTATATTTGTATAGGCTCTAGGATAAGACTGAAAATCAATTCTAGAGCTTATACAAGAGCTATCCTATAATCCTACGACGATCTATTCAAGTAAGATTACTCCTATCGTAGAGCTTTACACAAGATTATTCTAGACAATTATCAAGAATATTTACAAATAATAAATAAATTATTCATTTAAATTAAGAAAATATTCTTTTATAAGTCAGTTATAGTTTATATTTTTGATAATACATTTGTTCTAATCAGAAATATGAATTTAAAAAACCCGAATATTCAGATTATTATTCGAAGTTTGTGTTATAACACAATGATGGAAGCAGAATACAAAAAAGGCATGTCTTTCAACTAACTGTAAGGTCAATACAATCATGAAATCAATTTTTAAAAAAACCACTAAAACTGTGTTTTTGAGGATAAAAATTAAAATATAATTACATTATTTTACGTAAAAGCTAATGAGAAAAACGATTTTCCTTTAAAATATATCTTAATTTTTATTATTAAACCAGACTTTAACCGTGTCTTTATCTAACGAAAGATAAAAGTAATACGTTTTGTATTCGATTGAGGTCTGAACCCATGTCCTTAAGTGATGTATCGAAAGCTCTAACCTGAAGAAACACATTTATCTTGTCTTCTAATCCTCTTAACCTATTCTGGAAACGTTTATCGTAAAGCGTGGGTTCCGATCTCATCAGGTTTTCGGCGTGTACAAAAGCTTTCTATATTTTCCTACATAAAAGACAAACTTTCTCTTCCATACGCTCAACTTTTCTTATATAAAAGCTTAATTTTTTTCCTATTTAAATAACTGATTTTCTTCCTATAAATACAGAAAAACTTAATTTTTCTCAAGAAAAATATATACAAATAAAACTTGTCTTAATTATTTCTAATATACACCTGTAATTATAAAGCTATTCTAAAGATACTAGCATTAATTTACAACGCAGTGCTTCGCAAACTTGCTAAAATCTTTCATAAAAAGTCACTTTTACATTTAAAAAAAAATTACAAAATATAATAAAATTCTAGCATTTTTTTAAATTGTATTTTTGTCCAATTTTTTGATACGTTCGGCAGAAATTAATTCTGAAATCAAGCGATATAACTACGAATGAATTAAGAGTTTTCATTTACTCACCGCTTAATTTAACATCGATTGAACACGTCTAATAACGCATTAACGGCTTATTAATTGTTGTCAATCCAAGAAAACACGCACCGACATCTAAAAAAATTCCCATTATTCCATCTATCAACTGTCTGAGGGACTACAGTTACAGATTTCGATATTCGAAGTAAATTTATAAGTGCGAATCTGCTCGTCTTTCATCTAAAAAAAATCGTCAAAAAAGTAAAAGAAAATTATTATATACATCTAATACACCCGATATAATAATTAAAACTATCTGATATCGTCTTAGAATATTTATTTTTCTTATATTAAAAGGTATTAAAATATATGAAAGTGGAAACGTGCAGTTTCGACTGGAGTTTTCTCCAATTTTACTTATCGTTTTCTGAATTTTGTAGTTTTATTACATCCGAATGAAGCGAATATATTTCTCTTACACATTTTTATCTTTTTTTTTTTAATTAAAAAAAGATGTAAAATTTACACTTATTTTTTACTCCTATGCTCTTAAGATATGTGGGAGATGCAACTGCAGATAAAAATCATAAAATTATTAACGTTTTTATATCAAGTTACTAGTAATTTTAATCGGTTTTGAAACTTTGATAGCCTATTTTAATATTTTGATTAACAATTTAACTAAAAAATAAACCTTTAAAAGTATAATATAAGCTTAAAAATTTAAGAAATTAACATTACATATACAGAGGTTCAATAGGGCAATTAAAGATTTCATATACGTAATTTATGTGCAGAGTATAACACAAACAAAGCAGTATAGTTAGCTGCTTGAAGTGTATTAACTCATAGCTCTTATCTTACATTATTTGGAAATTTTGAAATATGAATAAGCTAAATGATTTTCAACTAATCTAATTATCAATAATAACGTAACTTATAGATTATTTGACTGTATAAACAAACGGAATTCAGTAAATAAATCTTTTCCTAAGTCTCTAACATAAAAGGAAGCCTGCAAGAGGTAACATTATTGTAGACTTCCTTTGTTATTTGTGTAAGCTCTAGGATAGGACTGTGAATCAATCCTACAGCTTACACAAATTCAATCCTATCCTACAATGAAAAAAAATCTAATTAAGTATTCATAATCGTCTATGTTCATTTCTGTAGTTCCCTGCGATAATATTTTTAAAAAATTTGAAATTATCTAACTATATTAGAGAAGATATAGATCATATTCTCACTCCATTATTTAAATTAGTTAATAATTATTATAATTTATTCATTGCTCTTTCTCTCATTCAATATCAACAATTTTAAAATAACTAAATATTATTACTGCGGGAATATTTAATAAGGAAACCGTTTTATAATTTGAATAATTGGATAATTAAACTAATTAGAAAATTTATAATATTGATATAAATGTAATTCAGTGAATGAGTCTTTTACTAAAGGAATTAACATGAAAGGAGATAGCATTCCTGCGACTTTTATATTTGTATAGGCTCTAGGATAAGACTGAAAATCAATTCTAGAGCTTATACAAGAGCTATCCTATAATCCTACGACGATCTATTCAAGTAAGATTACTCCTATCGTAGAGCTTTACACAAGATTATTCTAGACAATTATCAAGAATATTTACAAATAATAAANATGGTGGCATGAATGCTGGTTATCTTTCTAAAATGATTCCAAGTGAATCCAAGTTTCCAAAATCCTTCCAATATGGTGGCATGAATGCTGATTATCTTTCTAAAATGATTCCAAGGGAATTCAAGTTTTCAGAACCTTATGAAATGAATTCATTAGACACTACTAATCTGAAAAATTATGGAATTTTCCTCCCCAAAAGACCTTATAACAGATTTAGATTTGATCGAAATCATCCTTATCACTTGGCTAACCAAAATGATTATGGTCTAGGAGCCGGTGTAAGATTTGAAGATGGCGAAGTTCGAAACCAATTCTTAATATCACCTTTCCAGTACTTTAAATATTTTCCAGCTTGGTCCTTTAAAATTTTCCATGGAAATTTGTTTGGTTTGGTTGTCTACAATGATAACGTAAATGGAAATAACAACATCATCATCCCTACCAAAATTAAATATAGAAGATGGCACCCTGGAGGGCCTATCTTTGCTTATCCTCTGAATCAAGATGGAACTCGCAAAGAATTTTTCTTAATTTTGTTTCCTGGTTTGGATAATTATTTGTACTATAAAAATAAAATTTTTAATAATATTGAAAGGTTAAATTTGCCAATATCTATTAATGATAAGAACGAACAAGTAACATATTCGATGGGGAATAAAGTGAACGGCGTTGAACATACGAGTAGATCTGATGATGATAAGACGGATAAAATAGACGATTTCAACTTTAGTATAGAGAAATTTACGGATAATTCTGAAATTTCTAAAAATATCGAAGAACATAGTGAGACAAACGATATTTTCTTAGAGTTTTCAAAGAATATACACCGACTCGACGATAGTAAAATGGCCGAATTGCTTAAAAAACTAAATCTTTCTTCTAAAACGGAAAAAGACGATTTCAAAAATAAATTACAGATTATTTTGGATGAATTAAAAGGGAAGAAAAAAGGTTCTAAGGATGATCCTGTAGAAGATGAAAAGAATTCGGATGCTGTGAAGTGTGATTGCAAGGGAGCTGAGGAAACAAGTAAAGATGTGTCTAAATCTGAACAAAATATAAGTCCTAAAGATGAGAAACAAACAGAAACGACTCTATCTGTATAGTTAAAATGATAATTAAAAATGAATTTCTGAAGTGTATCACAATTCATTTTCGAAATTTATCAACTGTTATAGATAGTTTTGGACGTTTCTAAGATATATAAAGAATAATTATAGGTGTGTAAACGTCGAAGGAATTAAATTTTGAATACGTTAAAAAATGTGTTATTAGAATAAGGCCTACGTATTTACATCAATAGAATCTTCCAAAAAATCATTCTTTACTTTGAATTGCGTTTTATTAGAAGCTTTTTGAATTTCAATAACAATTCTGTTGAATACACTTTATTCTTCTTCTATTCTTTAACATTTCTGTAAGCCTTTATCATCTCGTATTTCTTCGTTAAATTGGCTTTTCTATAAAAAAAAATAATAATAATAAATGTCGTTTTTTAGTAAAAGACTCAAAAAATTTAATGCATTACGTGTACTTTTCAATAAATTCGACAATTTGTTTACGATACGTTCCTACAGTAAATGTATTAATTACTGATTAAATTGTTTTTTTTAGAATAGAAATTCGTGTTTAACGTCTAATAATTACGAAAATTCTTAAAAAATATTTTCAGAATAATTGTTTTATATTATTAATATACAAAAGAATCTTTCCGTCGTTCAATTTTTTTAGATAAAATGTACTTTTATATTTTCTTTTTGAAACCGTGTCCTGTTTTATATTTGTGGCGTAATAAACACTAGTATTGTGTTTTATTCTAAAGACACATGGCAAATTTTCCATCAAATTCCTTTATTAGTTGACTAATAATCAACTAATAAAGGAATTTGATGGAAAATTTGCCATGTGTCTTTAGAATAAAACACAATACTAGTGTTTATTACGCCACAAATATAAAACAGGACACGGTTTCAAAAAGAAAATCAACAAA